ATGAAAATCCAAAGTTCAGTGGCTCGCAGTTTCATTTTTCTGTGTTGCCTCTTTCATCAAAGCAACAATCAGATGATCGGCTTCATCTCCAACCCGTTTCCCATGTCGCCAATTGAGTCGGCCATTCAAAGTCGAGCATTGAACCGAATGGATCGTGCAATGAACAGAGAGCTAGGCGGCCAAGTGGGCGACAGAAAATCTGTGGTACAAGCCAGTAGTTTGGAGAGTGTGCTCATCCGCTGCAAGCAAGACAGTGACTGCATCGACGACAACAGTCCTGGAAACCCCGAAAACCTCATGTACTGCGATCGACACTACGGCTTCTGTGACTACTTCCGCCAGGTGGGCGAATTGTGCCGACACGACAGTCAGTGTGATTCTGGTCTAATTTGCATGTTCGGCAAGTGTGCAATGCCCGTTGAACCTGGTCAGACAGGTAAATAAAGTGCCGCCGCTTGACTCTCTACCCTACTTGCTGCAGCATTGCTTTACCCGCTTTACTCTTTGCAGGTGCTCGCTGTACCGACGCTTCCGATTGTGCACCAGGTCACTGCTGTGCTCGCCAACATGGGGAGCTTATTTGCAAGGTATGTTTAAAGACTGAGAAATACAGAGCGGTCACCCAACTGAGGATGGCTGTAAACAACTCAATGATGATCATCCGTTAAATTTACCTACTTTCACCATTCACAGCTCAAACTTAAACTAGGACAGCAATGTTTTGTTCCCCTTGGAGGTTTAGAGTTCAGCCTCAATCAAATTTGTCCCTGTGATGAAGGACTTGACTGTCAGCAAGTGAAAGCTAAAAGTAAACGGTAAGTGGTGAAAAGATGTTTTACTTAGTTTATATTTCAACTATTTAATTTTGTTCATAATATTTCAATATACCAGAAAGCGACACTTTAAATCGGACAACGTCTTGCGCTGCACTCTCAACAAATCACCCAGCTAAGAGGGGGCTCTGATTGTCTTTCAAGAAGAAGCCGATCTGGTTGCAGAATTCCCGGTAACAAAGTGATTCGCCAAGTCGAGTTAACGAGTCATCATCTCAAGTCTCTCACTGATTCCCCTGTACATACTCTGCCGAATGAAGGTCTACAGTAAATCGTCCATTTCATGATTTTGGCCAATATTTTCTGTTCAGTAGGCCACCACGATGGCCACCTCTGCCGGCACCACCGAGTGGTGCCAAAGTGCTCTGTTACTAATCGTCCTCTGTGGCACGATACCTTCAAAGCTGTTAATTATTTCACATTAAAGTGCCTTATATATTTCATATTTCCCGTAATTACGCATCATTCTGCTTTCGATCAAAGTATCAATTACATGTGAATTGGCTCTTTTCCTGCCCTTGTAATTGATGATGTGCTACGATCACGATGCTGCTCTCCCACTAAAAGAGTGACTGGCCGTAAACGTTAGTGTCAGTCTTTGCTAGAGCTCTTCACCAGAGTAGAAGACCGAGAACCCAGTTGCACACATTTGCCACCCTGTGATTGGCATTCTCTATATACGCACTTTTCTCTCCTTTGTCTGCTTGCGTCATTGATGACGCTGTTTTGACCGACAATGGCTACGGGAACACACTTCTTTCAGAAACGGTAATGGTAGTAACACATCAGCGCTGTTCCACACTTTTGGGTCACACAAACGGGCAGGGGGATTCAGTTCATTGAGAAGTCCTCCAAAAAAGCCAACGTCGCTTACACTTTCATAAATTCTGTGGAAGTGTATAGTAACGATTTAGTATTATTTATTAGGATACTTTGTAAAAATAGCAATTTTAATTACCATTTTAAATAGGCTTTCAATGGAAATGTGTTCTCATCACCAAGACATGCTGCGCATTGAGAGAACCTCGATAAAGTGGCATCGATAAAATTCATTCACGCCTAAAACTGGTAAAATCATTAAAAGTGTCGTTATCGTATATTGTTCGGTAATTAAGAGAACACTGGCAATTTTGACCAGGTAGTTGCACTTCAGATGACCTTTTTGGTGAGATAGTGAACTAGATAGAGAGGGAGAGAGGTAGCTGGATTGAAGGATACCGGCCGGAGCAGCAGACGAAGCAGCAGCATCAGCATCATCAGACAGTGGCTCACAGTAGCGGCAAGCATGTACACGCGGCGTTGGCAAGCCTGTTGCGCTGCAGCAGCGGCAGCGGCAGCAGCCGAGTGTCAGCATCAGCCGCAGCAGGCAACAGCAGTTATCTTGCTGTCTGTTTGTGCATGCCACTACCTCGACCATTGCTGGAGGCAGTCTCCGTATTGTTGTCGTCGTCGTCGTCGACGGCACAAGAGTTGTCTTCTCATCTGCTCGCTCGGGAATGATCACAGCACCAGGCTAATGTGATAACCAGCCAAACTGTGTCCTGTGCTGCACCAGACGCCAACACCACACCACGCCAGGCATTGCACCTCATTGACAGAATTGTTGCCCTTTTCAGCTTCGTCGAAGTAATCCTCGGATTCTTGCCTTTCGCTCTTTCTCTCTCAATCATTGTCGCCTTCTTCAGTGTTGAAAGTGGCCGACTTGTGAAGGAGTGAAGGGTGCATCGCCTTCTATTTCATCTGTTTGTGTCGGTGATTTTAGTGAAGATTCCGCCACACCAAAACTCCGAGAACATCAAATTCTTTCAACAAGCGGCAACTATTGTGCAATGTTTTCTTTTTATGAATTCTGAGATAAACGATTTTAAGAAAGACTACTACTAAGAAAAAAAGTCAGTATCTATTTTCACTTATCAAAAGGTAAGCTACTCTTCTTTCTGATTTGTTTGAAATTTGTACTAGAAAATGGTTTACTTGTGACAAACTTGTGAGAAATGCTACAACAAAATTGTCCTGTTGCTGAGATGATATACAAACCGGCAGGAAAGAATAATGAAAGCTATTGCTCTCCAACTCACCGATGCAACAGTGCACTGCTGACAGTGGAATGTCATTGGGCAAAGACATCTCGAGGAACTGAACACTGACAACTCTGTACAACTCGTTAAAGTGCCTGCCATCTCCTTGCAATCACTGGCCAAACGATCAAACTGCTTTAGTTCTCCGTAGTTTTGCATTTTTTCTTACTCATTTGATGTTTTGCTTTACTTTGATGCGACGAACAGCACACCTTAAGTACTTAGACACCCAGAGACACTGTGTCGGCACCAAACTGTCTGATAGCGTTTGGATAGTGGTATTCTAAAATTTGCAACTTGAGCATGCCTACCTATCAACTGCTCTTGTTACCGACCCATTAGTGCTGCCACTTGATGGAACACCTATTCTTTTTGTTCATTTCACTTAAGTTTAGCAAAGCACCTAAGTGCAGCAGCAGCAGTAGCAGTAGCAACAGCAGCCCTACACCAACCTTCGTATGGCAAAGTTGTGTTCAATCATCGCTGGCAGCAATTTGCACGACACCCATCTAATCGCTACGATTGCGCTCACTCGCAACCGAATCCAATCGAGTGTCTGTGTCTGCCCGTGTGTTTGCGATGTAGCGTGTGTCTTTGGGTGCTGTGCTTCAACTGTACAAATCAGCTACTGCTGCTCGTCAATGATTCTATGGCATTGCCGATCCAAATCGACACTTCTGTCCTTAAATTGAAACGGAAACTGCGCCAGCCAGCAACAGCAGTAGCCCCTTGCCCCCTCAGTTGTGCATCAGCTTACAAAAGATGTACTTGCATTTTTGGTTTAGAAAAGGCGTTTAGTAAAGAGGCGAGCAACTTTGCAGTATAGTAAAGTCCCCTTGACGCTGAATTTGTTTCAATTGACTGAACACGGCAGTACTCACTGACGACACCACTCTGTTTGACCACTGAGTAAACCTGTCGCATCTTGGTCATTTTGCTAGGGCAAAACCTTCAATTGAATGTAACCAATTTGAGAAAACAGTTTGTCTTTGAATATTATGAGAAATTGGATGATTAGGGCAGTACGGGCTTTGCTGTGGAAGCATGTGGCTACCAAAGGCGAGCGATCACCGACAGGCACGCGGATAGACACATGTAGCAGCAGTGTCACCGCTGCCAGCACAACTGTTTCTCTTTTGCCCCCTCCTTCGTGGACGACACTCAGCTCCTTGTTACTATTGCTCCTACTATTTGTACTGACATTTACTGCACTTGATCATTGAACATCATTTTGCTAATAAANGCAGTACGGGCTTTGCTGTGGAAGCATGTGGCTACCAAAGGCGAGCGATCACCGACAGGCACGCGGATAGACACATGTAGCAGCAGTGTCACCGCTGCCAGCACAACTGTTTCTCTTTTGCCCCCTCCTTCGTGGACGACACTCAGCTCCTTGTTACTATTGCTCCTACTATTTGTACTGACATTTACTGCACTTGATCATTGAACATCATTTTGCTAATAAAATGGTCATACCCAAGCGCTTTCTTTGCCCTAATTAGGCTCTAGCTAGTTAACAAATGTAACCCCCTTTTTCAAACAGAATATTTAATGTCTGCTCACTAATTCATTTACTTATTTTACAGTCAAAACAACAACTGAATCAACTGACAATCAATGTGCAAATAAACCTGCACATATCGGCAAACTGGCCCGAAGTAATGATGCCAGGAAGGCAACGACTCAATTGAAACCTTCTCGCCAGTGAAACTCCACTGGTCGTACTCCACCGTACAGTACGGACCCGTTCTCCGAGACTGCCTACTGCCCAGTCTTATCGCATCACTCGGCAAGGAGGCAGGCAGATGACAGAGCCTGGAAGGCACTTTTTCTCTTCACTGGCCTGACTGACTGACATCGTAAGTCGTTACACTATCGTGTGCCGGTGACGTATGTGAGAGACTGACGCCTTGTCAGTGCGTGCGTGTGTGAGCAGTGTCACCACCGCTGTCTGTTTGCACCATCTCACCAAACACTTCTTTACCACTAGGTCGAGGTTTCAACTTCCAGGCAGTTGCCCCCATTTCTCCTGCTTCAAAATACCTCTGGAGAACTTCTGACTTACTTCCTGACCAATGAATCTGAACTTATCACTTGAATTTACTTGAAACAACAATAATCATCAATTCTAGTCGCATAATAGTACAGCAACCAATTGCAATTGACCAACCGAAGCATTCACGTCCACTGGAAAAACAATTATCTCATGCTTTGTGTTCAGTGATCTTTTTATTGACAACTTTAGAAATCAACATTTCTACATCTTTACAACAGTTTTTGCATTTGACTTAATGGTTTCGGTGTTTTAACTTTAATATGCAATAATTAACGGAAAACTTGTCTGCATCCTCTCTTGAAGTCATCAATGAAGACCACTTTCCTTCAAGCCAGCTGTATATCAAATCTTTTGTTTCAGGTAAATACTACACCTCTTCTTTTAACAATTGCATGTATCAGTATACTATGCGGATTAGATTTTATAAACGACAATTCACTAATAATTAAGCTTGTACACTAATGATTCACTGGTTTCATTTAGCTTCAAATGCTTGTATTTATAGCACTTACTACCCCAATTAATTAACTTATTTTTTTTGGCGAACAGATCGAGATGTTGATTAGTCCGGCTTCTGATCTGGCCTAAGCCAGGTCAGTGATCTGTGTGCTTATCAGTGACCATTAATAAAACAATAGCAGATAAGTGATTAGAGAAAAGAATGCAGAGTAGGCTAGAGATAGAAAAGAGCGGACAGAATTAGTGCCAAAGAGTTGCTAACGCTGTTGGCGCCAAAGAACTTAAAAAACTGTGTCACTGAGCAGAGAGTGAGTGTGCAGGCGCAGAGCAGACGATCTGCGGCCCGATCCAAACTGGCAACACTCTGGCCACTCTGCGGCAGCAGCAGT